TACGATTTTCATTGTTCACTTGATGTATATTTTCTACATCTTCTGTCAAATCAATCAATGGGATAGGGGATAAATGTCTTGTCTTCGTTTTTAATTTATGACATCCTGGATTTAACTTGATTGATGATGAAGAAGTTGTTACTGTAGATGCATTTTTTGATGTCATATCATTTGAAAGTACATGGTACTGTCTTTTCTTTGCTAACTTGGAAGTGATATATTTATCGAAACCAATGTTATCTGAATAAAATAAAAATAAAATAGTTAACTAAATAAATAAATATTTACATAATGGATAATAGTATATTTTAAAAACCATAAATAATTACCATTCGTAATGTTAGATAACGGATTTATAACATTTGTAATGTTAGAAAATGGAGTTCTAACATCTGTAAAGGAAGGACAGTATTGTATGGTTGTGTTATGCTTTGCAGGTGTTGTAAATGAATTGACATTTTGAGTTTGACGAACAATGTTGGTTGATTGATCTGCAAATAGAAATAACTTATAAAACTTGTAAATATATGTATTCAACTATATAACAGTAAAAGATGGAATATAAAATACTAATACGGTTATAGTTAATGGTTTTTTTGAAGAGATGTTGTAATGATTTACTTGGAACGTTTGATATTGTTTTTATTTTCTTCGATCTTTTATTTTCCAAATATATTTTTCTTTGTCTTCTTTTCTCTTTGGCCTGCATGTGGTACATGTTACTGTTGTTTTCTGCATAAGAAGACATAGGTTAGGAAATGAAATGTGAAATTATGTACATAATATGTTTATATAATACAATTGAAGTTAGTTAGAATTAAATAAATAATGATAATAAAGTAAATGTATTTAAAAAGTTACCTTTATTAATTTGTTTATTAAAATGTTAGCATCATGACTCATCATCCTCATTTCCAACCTAGGGTTTATTCGATTTAAATCTACTGTTTCCCCAATTTCAACCAATCGTGGGTTCGGATGATATCAGGGGTTAAAACCCTAGATCTCCATGGAATCAATGAAGGTAAAATTGTGTGATACACGATAATCGTGATGATTATAAATTGCTTATTGATCTTATGTATCTATTCAAGATTATTTTTTTACAATTAGAAAAACATCTATTCCAGCATATTGATTATTGTTGTAAATTTCAACCATAAATTCATAGAGAAAACAAAGTGATCTAAACTGATAATACTAACCTGACATATGGATATGGAAATCTTGCAGGTAGAACTGGAATGAGGATTACAACTTTAATGAAGCAGTTTGATGTAAGCTTAATGAAAAAAAATCGCAGAAACAATTGAACATTAAGAAGACGAATGAGGTGTTTCAAAATTTTGGATTTCACGTTTTGAGGTAAAGTTATATGCTTGAATATTGGAAAAATATTACGATTATATGATTTTATTGTTGTTGGATCTTTATTAGATATAATTTTCTTTCTGATTTTTTGGAATTTAAAAGATTACAACTAAAAATTAGTTTAATATTCAAATTTCATCTAAAAAATGAGTATAGAATATTAGGAAATAGTTGGTTGAATATAGGTTATTTACAGAAGATAAGTAAATATGCTGCAACCATTACAAAAATGTATGAATTAATTTTAGAGAATCAAAGATATAAATTTTGTTTACAATTGGTTATTGATTATTTATTAAAAATAACATATTTATCGTGACAAAAATAATAGTTATTCTAAAAATAACATAAATGTTCCATGTTTAAAATAATCAACATAAAGATGCGAAGGTGATTATGGTTAATATTCATTATTGGAGTCAAATGCAGTTCACGTGTAAAAGCAAAAATGTTCGCATTTGGTAATACAAATCAAAATTGGGTTTCGCATATGAGGTTGTATGGATTGGGGTTAAAGATGCGAAGGTGATTATGGTTAATATTCATTTCGTATTTGGTGAGACAAACAACTCAAATGCGAATGAACTAAAAAAAAATGACTGGAACATGCGAAGAAAGAGGGTGAATGAAGAATGTGAATTTTACAGTAGAATGCGAATTGGGGAAGAAAGCTAAGAATTTCGCATTTTTATTATACAAATTGATTGATTGATTGATTTGTCTTAATTGTTAATTGCGATATATGAAATACTTATCAAGTTAGGGGCAATATGGTCATTTTGAAGTAAAAGAAGCCTTGGTTATTAAATGAATCATACGAAGGATCTGTTATTTGATTTTGGAATTGGGGCGAATAATCGAACGATTTGGAGTTGCGAATTTGATTTTGAAAAGCCAATCAGTTGGGTTCGCATATGAAAACAGATAAGTTTTGATTTTGGATTCGCAATTGGGTTAATTGGTTATTGATTGAGGGACGATTCGTGAAGAAAAATGCGAAGTCAAGAAGGACTGTGAAATGTGATTTGTTCAATATTGGAGTCAAATGCAGTTCACGTGTAAAAGCAAAAATGTTCGCATTTGGTAATACAAATCAAAATTGGGTTTCGCATATGAGGTTGTATGGATTGGGGTTAAAGATGCGAAGGTGATTATGGTTAATATTCATTTCGTATTTGGTGAGACAAACAACTCAAATGCGAATGAACTAAAAAAAAATGACTGGAACATGCGAAGAAAGAGGGTGAATGAAGAATGTGAATTTTACAGTAGAATGCGAATTGGGGAAGAAAGCTAAGAATTTCGCATTTTTATTATACAAATTGATTGATTGATTGATTTGTCTTAATTGTTAATTGCGATATATGAAATACTTATCAAGTTAGGGGCAATATGGTCATTTTGAAGTAAAAGAAGCCTTGGTTATTAAATGAATCATACGAAGGATCTGTTATTTGATTTTGGAATTGGGGCGAATAATCGAACGATTTGGAGTTGCGAATTTGATTTTGAAAAGCCAATCAGTTGGGTTCGCATATGAAAACAGATAAGTTTTGATTTTGGATTCGCAATTGGGTTAATTGGTTATTGATTGAGGGACGATTCGTGAAGAAAAATGCGAAGTCAAGAAGGACTGTGAAATGTGATTTGTTCAATATTGGAGTCAAATGCAGTTCACGTGTAAAAGCAAAAATGTTCGCATTTGGTAATACAAATCAAAATTGGGTTTCACATATGAGGTTGTATGGATTGGGGTTAAAGATGCGAAGGTGATTATGGTTAATATTCATTTCGCATTTGGTGAGACAAACAACTCAAATGCGAATGAACTAAAAAAAAATGACTGGAACATGCGAAGAAAGAGGGTGAATGAAGAATGCGAATTTTACAGTAGAATGCAAATTGGGGAAGAAAGCTAAGAATTTCGCATTTTTATTATACAAATTGATTGATTGATTGATTGATTTGTCATAATTTCGCATTTTTATTATACATATATGGAGTGATACAAAACAAAAAAATCTCCAACTCTTTTGTCATCTTATTATCCATGGTCTCTTTAAATCGTTTTCTCTTTTGATACTATGCTTATGAACAGATGCATGGTTAAGCCTTGTATTCACCTTTAAAAAATATAATCTATCGTTTAGGTCTATTTTGTCATTCCATATATAAAACGTAATGCAAACACAGAATAAACCACATGTCAAGCACGTTTATGAAGTTTTATTCTCCTGGAAATTGTCTATTCTGTGTCAGGTACTAAACCGTACCTTTTGCTTTTCAACATAAAGTGATAATTTTGTCACATTAGCAACTCTCTTCAACATAAATATAGATAAGAAAAACCAATTATGTATGTATTCACATTTGCATCTGTTTTATCTCATCAACATAGAGAAAACAACAAACCAAAAAGGTTTCATCCGACCTCCGCATCGCGGGGGCTCCCCTCTAGTTTATGATATTTAGAGGTTACATAGAAACCAATGAAAGTACATTGTCATTAAAGGAATGTTCCATTAATATTAAACCAAAAAACATTTTAAAGTACAATGGTATAACCATAAGATTTAAATGGTAACAAATGAAAAAAAGTAGGATTCATCAATATGATGAAAAAAATTATTAAGTAAACAGCCGTTAAAGGGAATGTTCCATTCTAAAAAATTACATAATAATGATTTTTACTGGTTAAAGGGAAACCAATGAAAGTAAAATGTTGTAGTATTGACTATTGAGTAGTTATTTTTTACTTTAAGAAGAATACCAACAAAGTTTTCATTTTTTTTAATACAAATTAAATAAAGTACAAATTAAGCACCCTCAATCACAATATAATTTCACCTGTAAAAGTATCAAAGTATCAAGCTCAAGATAGCTTTAACATTTGAACAATAATAACCACATATGCAATATCGGCCAAAAATTTAAAATATTAAGAAAAAATTTAAAAAAATTTTACAAGCAAATATAATTAAAAGTTTATAAAATAAAATGAAAAACCTTTTGAACAGATTCGTGAAGAAAAATGCGAAGTCAAGAAGGACTGTGAAATGTGATTTGTTCAATATTGGAGTCAAATGCAGTTCACGTGTAAAAGCAAAAATGTTCGCATTTGGTAATACAAATCAAAATTGGGTTTCACATATGAGGTTGTATGGATTGGGGTTAAAGATGCGAAGGTGATTATGGTTAGTATTCATTTCGTATTTGGTGAGACAAACAACTCAAATGCGAATGAACTAAAAAAAAAATGACTGGAACATGCGAAGAAAGAGGGTGAATGAAGAATGTGAATTTTACAGTAGAATGCGAATTGGGGAAGAAAGCTAAGAATTTCGCATTTTTATTATACAAATTGATTGATTGATTGATTTGTCTTAATTGTTAATTGCGATATATGAAATACTTATCAAGTTAGGGGCAATATATTTTATTTGAGTTATAACCAAAATCAACTAACTTGTCCAATTTAAAACAATAAAAGTATCCAAAAATATTCAAAACCAATAATATTTGACATCCTAAATACCCCAAAATAAAAATCATACCAAGCAATTAAAATATCTTTATAACCAAAACAAATGATCAAAATATATTAAATGTGTCTTATAACCGATAGAAACTCACTTTTCAATTTTTGGAATCAAGAGTGGAGTTTCCTCTGCGGTTGACTTTCTTTTAGCCTTAGTTGAACTTAAATCATATCCAGAATCAACATCATAAATTTCTTGGAGGTTGCGCTTCAAATCACCTGATATTTTGCAAGGACTTGTTGCGGTTGACTTATCAACTGTTGAGGGTGTAAAACTTTCGTCTGTTTGTGAGATCACATCCTAATTTAAAAAAAAATGTTTGATTCCTAAAAAAAATAACTAATATAATTAAAAGTTTATAAAATAAAATGAAAAACCTTTTGAACAGGCTGTACAACATCATCGGATTCCAAAGCAACTTGATTTAAGGAGACAAATTGATTACTCTAAAAAATAAAATGGAAATATGTTAATCGTTATGTACTTTAACATTAAAGAATTGTAAATTTTCAACAATAAAAAATTACATACCATAAGTTCTATTTTACTTTCCAATTCACAAACAATGGAGATATCTTCTGTAACTCTGAGAACTGTGTAGATGTTATTATTGTTGTTGACATTGTATTCTGTAATATCTACAACAAAACCAAACTTGCGGTTTTTCAACACATTAAGTTGCATTGGAAATAGGGCATCACTGTCTCCGGCCTGTAAGATATATTTTAATAAATTAAAAAAATTAAGTAAATGTTTTCTGATTTTAAAGGTATGAATAATATACTGCATCATGTATCTTTTCAACTCGTAGGCACTTATATTTAACAACCTCCTTGCTTCCCTATCAAAAAGAGTCAATCCAATGGTTCCAGTACAATCTTGTACGTTAATTGGAATTATATACCTAAAACAAAAAATAATTATGTCATTGTTAGTGTTGTTTTAAGATTGACAAAATTAATAGAAATAAATATGTCTATACTTTATAACTGATTGAAATTCAGATTTTTTGCATTGTGCATTTGTACACTCGACAACCATAGTTTCTGAAATTCCCTCAGGGTTGGTATACGAATGATTGGTTTTGGGAACAGGGATAATTTTTTTTCCACATTTTTTGCATGCTTCATAATACCATGGTAGATTCTGCCTTATATTAACAATGGAAGCAACTAATAAAAACTTCATTTCCTGTATCATATAAAATGTAAAAATTATGAAAATAAATTATGCAAAAATAAAATGTAAAACATATAAAATAATGCAATATACCTTAATTGGTTCGGTGATCTCACAAATTATTTTTAATGGAAAATTGCCCTTAAAGTCATCTGTATATGAAGAAGAGTAGCTTTGAAGTGTAGTTATGCTTTTTTCAGTTATATCGAAATTGTCATGACATTTCAACCTGTAATGTTTAATTTAGATTCATGAATATTAGGTTTTGTGTTTTTTTTAAGTTAAAATACATTATAAAAAAATAAAAAACAATTGAAAACTAACTTATTTTTAAACTCATTTATTTCATAAATGTCAGAATTTATGAACAATTTCGTTACTTCAAAATGACTTTTAGCTTCACCAAGACCTGTAAAAAATGTATATCCAATTATTAAAATTTATATAAAAACAGTAATTATAAACATCTATATATAAAGACTGAATAGAAACCATTCCAAATGTTTAGCTTCAAAAATTGCATCACGATAACAACAAAATTAACAGTCGGGTTATTTTTTAGGTATTCTGAAATTTGATATGCTTGACTTCCAAAAATAGTAACCTTCAGATGTACAGAACTAAATAAACCATAAAATAGTATATTAATATTAATTTGTGATTAATTAAAGATAATAAATAATAAATAAATAATACAATATAATCTCACTCTAGGTTGCTAAGAGTGACTTTTATATAATGCTTGGATGGTACTGGATTTGAAGTTTCAAGAGGCCTAAATGACACAATATGTCCAATAACATCTACACAACAGATACCACAAAAAAATAAAAGTTTAGGATTAAATTCGTAATATTTAAATAATAAAATGTATAACCAAAAAAACAAATGATAAAAAATGATTTTATTAATATTTTATGACTAACCAAAGAATGTGTCTTTTGGGCATGTTTGTTCTATGATAGAATTAAAGTCAACAAACATAAATCCATTGACCGGACCCGAGAAATCATCACATTTTTTTAGGATGCTTTTCCAATCCAAAGTTAAGGTCTGTTTATGACCTGTATAACTAAAACCATTAGTAACAGCAGCCATATTGGGTTTTATAACTATATAACTTTCATCTCCCTTTAAAAGATGACGAAATCTGGAGAAATTCTGATTGAAGACACGAGCTTGGTATTGTGTACCCTGTTTAAAAAAAAAATTAAAAATTATTATGTTCATGAAACATGTCTCATATTGAATGATGAATAAAAAATATATCAAATACAACAAACCTCCTCATCCATGATGATCATTTCAATGGAACAAACTTTATTATTTCTGACAAAGTTCCAAATTTTAAGCACCCGAATCTTGATATGCGATTTTTCATTTATCTGGTCAATGTTATTTAGGTAAACCTTATTTCCTATTTCCATTTTCTGCAATAAATTTAATCATTATAGAATTGTAAGGAAAATTAGCAACCTTTTAAATTAACAGCAAATCAAAGTAAATGAAACAGCAAAACAAAAAAAAAAACATATTGTAATAGTTAAAGCTTTGAAGAACAGTTTTTTTAAAGAAAATAAAGTTCTCATTTTTATTACTAATTTCGTATTTTGTAATCATTTTCATCACTATTTACGTCTTTTAAACTGAAAAGGTAGAAGAAGAAGATGATTAAGAAGAATTAGGAAAAAGAAGAAGACAAACATCACTAATAAAATGAAAAAATGATAGAAATTGATAAATCAGACCATTAAGAGCATAGAAATATTAGTAATCCTGATATTTTAATACACTAACCTGATATTTGATTTTTTAAGCGTTGCAGAATCAAGAAGAATAAAGAAGAATAATTTTGCAAAGATTACTATGAAGCAGAATTTCTATGGAGCATAATGGTAAAAAGAAAAGAACCGTATGAATGGTATTTACGTTTGAAAAGTTTTTATGAATCAATAAGAATCAAGAAAATTACGTTTGCAAAGAATAATATTGCAGATTTTTAGGGATTTAATTTGCAATCAAAATAAACAAACTTTCAAAATTAATCGGGTTTTTCGAATCTGAATATTAATTAACATATTTGTTTGCAGATTTTTCCGGAATTATTGAATTTGGTTTGTATGGCATTTACGTAAATATAGATGAATAAAATGAGCGGGAAAACTCTATTTTGGAGGTCTTATAGATTGACACGTGGCAGAGTTCTACTTATTTATTAGAATTAGGATTACAATTGGACTTGGGTGTTGTTTTTAGTTGGGCCTAATTGACTGGGTCTGTTACATCATTTGTGCTAAATGTACCATATAGCCCAAAGGGTTTTTCGCGTATTTCATCTACTCAAGCAACGTGTTAACGGAAAACAAACCTATTCCGCGGCTGCCGTCGTCAGCTCCGCTACCGCTACCGCCACCACCTTCTCCATTTGCAGTAACGTAAGTTCTCGTCTTCCCTTCACCTCTCTTTCCTTCTGTAAATACTCATCACCTAGTGAAGTATTCTTCTGTACTTCATCATTAGCTAAGCTGTAATTCAGAGGTGGAAAAATGCCACGAACAACCACAGTAGAATCTGCTGGCTGTCCTCCACTTCGCGCCCTAACTTTCGATGTTCTCGGTCTCATCAAAGGTTTACTTCAACGATATTAGCTTATTTGCGTTTGAGTTTTATCTTCCTGTATTGCTAAGCATTTATCAAATCATGAATTGTTCACATAGTTTTTGGTGTATTTTATGATTGTAGTCACTGAAGCACGAAGTAAGCTAGGAGGAGTTCCTAAGGTGGTCGAGAGATGGGGGCAACCGGAATCCTCTCGATGCGTGCTTGCTGCTTCTACTAATGACCGTAAAATCGACCCTGTATGTTCTAGATTCCACCATATGATACTTCATTTCAAAATTTTAGACACTTGTGTATATTAGACATCGAATGTAATGATTTTTCATTTGAAAACTGCTATTTACAGCTTTTAATCCTATATTTTTTTGCAACATTTTGCAGTTGTTAGCTGTTGCAAGGAAAAGTGGTGTGGTAAGGTTTATCCATCAGTTCATCCATGCTTGTTTAAGCACTTCCATTGTTTGTTGCCTCTCTAATATTTACTTTTCCCTGCCAAACAGATCGAGTTGATTAGCTCCATCAATGGTGATCTTCGAGTTTCACTTCCTAGTGGCAACCAGGCTGATGTCCAGTCTCAAGAAGATAATATTGTTGGGTTGCATTTGTTCAAAAAGCAAACATCTGAATCATCATCCAGGTATCTGTCAAGATCATTACTTCTTTTCCCATTTAATTATGATATCAAATTCATATGCAAGTAACAATTTGATCATTTATATAATCTCTTGTGTTTTAAATTAGGTCATGCACCTTGCTTACATGCACAACAAAAGGGCTTTCAACCCTGAGATCTTTTACAATACCAAAATCACCAGGAGACTCCACTAGTGACGACACTCAAGTCACATGGAATGTGTGTGCAGCTGGTAATGTCTTATGTTGTAAAGTGGATGATAATGAAAACTATGCCTTATTTGGAGGGTTAGTTTTTCTTTTTCTTTTTATATATTTTATTCTTCATATATTAGCTTTCAAATACTGATATAAAACAATTGACAAATTTTCTGTATATCAGGAAAGGAGTAGAAGTTAATATATGGGATCTTGCAACACATACGAAAATCTGGACAGCAAAATCAGTAAGCCAATCTGTTCTTCTTTTTGGCATGTTTAAGTTATATAGGCTAAGGCCTTCTCTATCAATTTGTCCACCATGTGATTTTCCTTATTTACCCCTGCAGCCTCCTAAAAACAGCCTTGGGATATTTACACCAACCTGGTTTACTTCAGCCACGTTTTTATGCAAAGATGATCACCGCAAGTTTGTGGGGGGCACCAACAGCCATCAGGTCCTTTTTTTTAAAGAAAGCATATAATATTCATTTGTTCATTATTATTATTTATATGTTGAAAATTGAAATAACATGAATATGTTAAATAGAGGTCTAAATAAAATAGTATTTTTAGGTACGTTTGTATGATATGGCTGCTCAAAGAAGACCTGTGATGTCATTTGATTTTCGTGAGACACCAATTAAAGCAATCACTGAAGATCAAGATGGCAATACAATTTACATTGGGAATGGATCTGGTGATCTTGCATCTGTTGACATACGCACAGGTACACAATTCTAAAATATTTCTCTTAGACAAGGGCAATTTCGTCAATTTACTGCCCCGTCCAGAAAAATGTATGTTATTTTTTTTTTTTCTTGACATGACCAAGAAACGAATGTTGACATTTGTTTAATGCGATTTAATTTCAAGTTAGTAATTTTTTACTGAAGGGAAACTATTGGGATGCTTTTTGGGGAAATGTTCCGGAAGCATCAGATCAATAGCCAGGCATCCTGATCTCCCAATGATAGCTTCTTGTGGTGAGTTTTTTTTTTTCTTTCAAGCCCTTCATATTTCTTTTTAAATTACTAATACAAAAAGCACCTAATAGAAAAAAGTCAGTGAAAAGAGGTTTTCTCCATTTTGACATTTAGTCCTAACCTTTTTACAAAATTTGATGGTATTGTAGGACTTGACAGCTATTTGCGCATATGGGATATAAAATCAAGGCAGCTACTCTCTGCGGTATGTAAAGATTTTCATATTAAACATTTTGAATTTTTTGGATTTAATTATAGTTTGAAGATGGATGGATTTGTAAAAGATTTCCTTTAAAAAAAGGAAATTGTATTTGTAACTACTATTTTTAATTGTGTTCTAAGTTGTTGGAGAATGAATGCAGGTTTTCTTAAAGCAGCATCTCACAAATGTCGTCTTTGATTCTCATTTTAATGATGAAGGTTAGTAATTGATTGTCCTCTTGCCCTTTTTAAACCGTGTTTGTTACTTAGGACAAGTGAAAACATGTTGTACTAAAGCAAAAGACGTGAATGCCCTTGTCATCCCCATTAGGGAAAAAATAGATAGCTGACACATTTTGATTGTCAATCTGTGTGAACAGAAGTTGCAGCAGCTTCTGTGCCTCCAAGTGAACCAAAAGAAGAGGATGAGCTAATAGAAAGAGATGAGGAGTCCAAATCACGCAATGTTGTTAAACGGAAAAAGAAGAAATCCAAATCACGCGATGTTGATGATGATGAATCACATTCTGTTAAACGAAAAAAGTCGAAAAAATCACAGAATGAAGATGATGATGTTGATGAAGGGCCACGTTCAAAAGAAAAGAAAAAGTCCAAAAAAGCAAAGAATGTAGACAACTACGAGGAAGGATTGCTTTCTGTTGAACATGAAAAGCTGAAAAAAGTAAAGGGTCGAAAATCAAAGAAATCAAAAGGCCAAAGGGTTGATTTGGAATGATGTATGATTTAAGAAGAGAATTGGTGATAGTTTAAGACAACAACAGTTTTGGAGTTTCTGATTGAACATGGTTCTTGGGGGATTATTGTTTTTGTGATATTGACTAGAAGGCATTGTTTGTGAGAATTAGTAAATTTTAACAAATTATAAGGGGTTAATTGCAAAAGAATGCTAAGTATTTTTATCATTAATACATAATTTAAATTTTCAACCATTAGCTATGTTTGGCGGACTAGCTGAAAAGCTAGCTATTAGCTGAAAAACTAGTTGTTAAATAAAAAACTAGTTGATAGCTGAAAAGCTAGCTGGTAAAAAATAATGTTTGGTAAAACTAGCTGAAAAGCTAGCTGAAATATATAAAATTACATAAAAGGACATGTAAGAATATGTATTTCTATAATTAATTAAGGGGTGTATTTGGAAAATTTAAAAAAAAAACTCCTAAAAAGCTAGTCTAAATAGTTTTTCAAAAAGCTAGCTTATAAGCTATTTTTTGGCTTACTAAACACGACAATATAAAAAAACTTAAAAAATAAATTAGCTTATCAGCTAGCTGTGGCGTGGCAAACACAGTCTTAATGCGACAAGCTGTATTTTTTATGGAGTTAATTATTTCAGTGGTCAAAAATAGAAACTTAATATCAGACAATGACAATGTTTAGTGTTTCTTTTACAATATGTTCATAAAATATGTAAACGAAATAATATTTTTTTTAAGGCAACACTTGAAAAACCTAACAAATTTTCATTTTTTCTGGTGGCGTGGCTAACTATCAGAAAAACCGCAAGAATGTGGCCAAATATAAGAGGGAAAGGAATATAACTTATTAAAATAATTGATTGGTTAAATAATCTATTTTATTTAAATGCTAAAAAGAACTCTTTAATTTATTTAGTTTGCTTTATTTAATAAAACCAGTTATTTATTTATTAGTTTTTTTGGTAAATAAGAAATATATCACTTGCAAGTATCCCATTATTTATTTTCATATATTTTAATATTCTTTGTATGTGACCTTGTAGATCCGTGTATAATTAATAGCATAGTAAATTCATTGTTTATTGCATAGTAGATCTTACAAACCGGCCTTAAATATGAGTTGTCTACAGACATTAAACAAGGCAACATTCAAAGTGTAACGTATCATAACTATGATCGTCACCATATATTCTACAAGTTTGGCTTATACTGCCACTAAAAGCGATGAAAACATGAACCTAGGAAGTGTTTTGAATTGAGTTTTAAAATGAATTAGTAACTTATTAGTTTTTTGCCACGGTTATAATCCAAAATGTGTGTTTGGTATTTAAAATTAGTTTTTGCCACCGTTACTAAGAAGTTGTTAAGATGTCATTTTCAACTAAATTCTTAACATTTATCTATAACTTCTTGATATAAAACAACAATAATGTTCTTATTTTTAACCTAATAAATACATGACTCCTAATTTTGGATA